AACTCCACTTGTGTATAAATATTAATCCATATGTAGTGTTAAATTATTTTGAGTCGATTCGAGTTTATAAAAAACAAATCAAGTCGAGTTGAATATTTGAGTTTCTGTTTAAATTTAATTATAAATATTTTATTTGATTCTAATTTAAATGTTTTTTTATAACCATATACAATACATGTGTATTTCTTTATATTTTTTATATATGTGATATATATTTATGATACAGAGTCGAGGAACTCAACTCAAACTTTAAAATAATTATACTAATTACTAAAAATTCCGAGTCATTCGGGTCACTATTCGAGTTATTCAAGTTGTATTTTACAACTCGGTTTGAACTTGAATTTTTTTCGAGTCGATTCGAGTTTATGAAATTACAACTCGAAGTTAATTCGAATCGAATCGAAACAATCGATTTTTCGAGTCGAGTCAAGTTTTATTCACCCTACTTTGTACGTGATCCTCCTTAATACAAGATGTTCGTTAGAAGTAGGGAATCTAATTTCATTAAATTGATTACAATATAAATTTTCTTTGTATCAAATAATTATTCATATAAATAAACATTAAGAACTATAGTTATAAATTAATCGATTAAGTCTTGAAAATAGTACATAATCATAATCCTATTATATAGTATTTTACTTTCAACATTACTGATTTTTTATTTTTTATTCATAATTTTCTTATGTAATTCTTGTACGTAAAATATTATTATCTTATTTTATTAGTTAATTGTTTCTCCTACCATCATCTAAAACATACAGCTTATATTTTGCTTCGAATGAATTCATGATGGTAAGCTTAAGGACGGGGATGGACTTAGGCAGGATAAATAGAGATAATCGTCCTCCTAAAAATATAAAATTATTATATATTTTAAATTTTTTATATATTTTCTATTAAAAATTTATTTTTATCCTTCAAGAATTTTATAAATTTAATAACGCCACCTAAAATTTTATAAAAAAAAATAATGCGTCCTGCTTAAGGCGATGAATAGCACCAAACAGAACCACACATGCAATTCCGACAAAAGGATTCTTTATATCGAAGGGAACACTGATACTGCTATGTCTGTATTAACTTTTATTATGTCAGAAACCAATTATGAAGTTGTCCCATTTCTTCAGCTTTAAACTCATAAATTCATTATATATATATACATATATGTGTTGTAAGATTCTTATATCTAGGATAGGATAAAAGAGAGTGAAATATTGCCACATATGTTTCTAGAATTTTATATCAACGGTTGAATTTCTAGAATTTTAAAAAGAAAAAAACTTATAAAATTATAAAAGAAAATATAATTTTAATAAAAAAATATATAAAAAAATTAAATATATAATAATTTTAAATTTTAAGAGGATAACTGTTTCATCTTTCTCTCTTCTATCCCTAACTATTTCTCCGAAATTTGTACTAAAATGAAAGCTGTCTATCAGAATGCAGACGATGCTTCTTGGAAAGTCTGGGGCTCTGGAAAAAAGTTGGTGAGAGAAAAATTAAACGATCGTCTTCTTTCTTAAACTTATTTTTAGGGACACCCATATGTTCTTGTCGTTAGAGTTTGGCTATCGGTATGTCACATGTAAATCATAAATGAATCAAGTTTGAACGAATAAGCTTATGTTTGTGTTTGTTTGTTTATTTTTTAAGGTGTTCGTGTCTGATTCGTGTTCATGTAAATTTTTAATTTCGTGTTTGTTTATTTATTATTCACTTTGTTTTAATGTTCACGAATGTGTCCATTTAGCATTCACAAACATGTTTGTTTAACATTTGTTTAGTGTTTATTTAGTATTTATTTAGCGTTCATGAACATGTTCATTTGACATTCGTTTTGCGTTCGTTTATATATTTAATTTTTAGTTTTACCCTTTCATTTGTAAGCTAAAAAAATGATAAAATTACACCACTAGTGCTTAAACTCCTTAAAATTTACAATTAAATTTCAACTTTTATCACGTGTTCAATTTAGTCTCTACCTCCACCAATATTTAAAATATAAAAAATAAAGCGAAAATGAGAACCAAGTAGATGAGCTTGTCTGTGAACATAAACGAACTGAACACACTTATGTTTGTGTTCCTTTGTTTATTAAATGAACATAAAATTTTTTACTCATACTTGTTTATTTATCTTATCAAATGAACATAAACGAACATTATATAAACAATTCACAAACAGTTCATCGAACGCTCCTTTCATTTACACCTGTAATCTCATTCTTTCCTCTGGGCCATTTGTAATTGGCTCATACAAATCTTTGCAATAAAAATAATCTTTCATCATCGGTTTTCAATAAGAGAAATTATCCTTTGTGAGTTTAAACATGTACCATAATGAATAAGAGAAATTATTGACGAACATGTTCATTTAATGTGATTTTAATGGTACATGCACCACACGCCCAAAGGATGGACTCAGCTTGCCCTTAGGCTCAATCATAAGAGGATAAGCCAAACTACTAAAAAATCAACTCCAATCTGCAGTCCAAACCTTCGTCTGCAAAGGCCTCCACGCCCACATGGAGTTTGAAGAATTCAAGGAAGGAAAATCATTCATCCTTCCTCATACATCAACTTGGATCACAACAACCCAAGTCATTTCTGGGCCCAACTGTGAGATCAAATAAGATATGCCCAAAATTGAGTTTGAACCACCTTGAGCCCAATAATATGTAAAGTTACCTAGTGCTAAATTTATAAAGCCTGTGATAACTCGTTATCTTAGGAAAATTATTAGCTTTTTTAAAATTTTAGAATAAGGACAAATAGGTAATTAAATGTAACCTTTGATAATTTATCATCCTCCTCCCTTTCCTATCACGCCAACCACTTATCACATACCCTTGATAACTTGTCAAAACTCCTTACCCTTACTTATCATAAGCATGGGCGCCTATCAAGACCCCTTACCTCTCCATGTCGCCTCTTCATCTTCCAGAATGAAGATCTGGACCATCCATCCAGTTTTAAGAGCCCTTTCATGTCTTCTTTCATCTACACTGTCGGATCAAAGCTTCATCAAGGGCCACTATTCATTGTCACCTATGTCACAAGGATTTAGGATAGTTTTTTTGTTGATATTTATTGTTATTTTATTCATCATTCATGTTCCCACAAGGACTCCTCAAACACTTTATAAAAGAGGCCCTCCCCCTCATTGTAATAATCAGTTCCTTTATTTTATTCAATACAACGAGAGTTCATTTTTGCAAGAGCTGATTGTCTTGTGCTTTCGAAGCTTCTTTTTCTTTTAGTTCTTCCGAGTTCTTGAGAGAGAGATCTTCACACTCTGGTTTGCTTATTCATTACGATTATGAGGGCTGGTTAGAGCCTTATTATCGAGTTTGTCTTTTCATTATGACTAAGAGGGTTTGATAGGACACTTATCTATCTATTTCCCATCTTCCATCATCCTCTTCTTCTATCTCCTTCAACACGCCATCTTCACATACAAACCCTACGGTTCGCGTCAAGACCATACCTACCGAGGTTAAATTTTCAATTTAAATTTTCCATCAATCTGACCATCTGATCTTAATTTCGTCTTCACCTTCTCGATCCTTGTTTTCTTATATTTCCAATGAGTATTCATCCATCAAAATCCAGCAACCCTAGCTTTGGCTGCCTATCATAAAAAGGGAGACAAGTTGATTCTTTTATTACATGTTTTGTATTTAGGTTCAATTCTCTTACCCTTGTTTTCTCTTGTATTGATTTCTTCTCAATCTTCTTACCCTTGTTTTTTTAATGTCTTTAGTCTTGTTTCTTGTATATTTTTCAGCATCTAAAAATCCTAAAACCCTAATCTTATTGTCGCCCTTATTCACCCATTCAAAGCCATTCGTTTTTTTTATCGAGTCTAGAGCTTTCAAGGTTTATTCCCTCGACGAGAACAACCTTCTCATCATCCGCTACCGTTTCTCTATCATTTAGTTAATACATCTTCCTATTACAATTTTAATTAATGCCATACATGAATTTAGTTAATACATCTTCCTAATCATCAAATAAGGAGAGATGCACCTTACTGTACACGTTACGTAACGTTACTTAAAAAATTGTGATTTTAAAGGATAAATATAAAATAGATTTATTCCAACCGAAAAGGGGTAAATACTTGTATAACTTTTAGCTTGTGTCTTTTGTTTTAGTATGCAATTTGGTTTCTATTTTCTTGTGTAATTTATCTTCTGATTTCTGCACTAATTTGCAATTTGTTCTCATTTTTTGTTGGGTACGATTTGGCTCTTTAACAACGCAACGTTGGCATGCGTTCATTGTAAACTTGGTCGAAGAGACTCGAAAGCAGATGCAAGAAGTGAGAAGAGATGGAGTCCGAGTTCATCCAGTCATGAATTTAAATAGCGGTTTGGTTGTATAATAACGGATGTTATATAACGATAACAATATTGTCCGAAATTGTTATTGTCGAAAATAATGATGTGAAGTGGAATCACACTAATAGCAACAGATACCGACCATAATTTAAGAGATAATGGCCAACTGCAGCAATAACAGATCACTATTCACGGTGTAGTTTCGTTACGTTAAAAAAAAAAAGAAAATCAAACGAAATATAGTAAGATAAAGTGAATATATTCACTACCGTGATACCCGCAGTAGCATCTGCTATGTCTACAATTCCAATAAACATAAAGCAATCGTAATTTAAATCCTTACCTAAAGCTGTCGTCTGAAACCGATGCATAACAGGTGCAAAACTGATTGCTAAATATATCATACTAGCTTTGCCTAAAATGGCAACAAACATTGATTTTTTGGGGACATCAATGAGTTGTTTGTGGACTAAAAATGTCTTCTTATTACCAAACATAGAACCGGTGTACCTTTGTTTGCGGGTGCATGAACATGAATCCCAAACTCTTTTAAATTCATCTGCAAATACCAATCTTTTAACCTTATTTTCTTCAATCACCTCCCCAAAACCTCCATTGGAACTTCAATCACCTCCTCAAAACAAAAGCCATGAGCCTCAATTGCTGGACTTGCCCTATCTTGCAACGAACAAACTCGAGCAGCGACGTCGATTTCAGTAAGGAGAAGGACATTACTCAGTTTTGTTGTGTCAGGATAAGTAGGAGCTTGTCGGGAAATATGAGTCCTCAGCCTTACGAGCAACTAGGAAAGGATCCCGGGATTCCGACGAAGAAGATGAAGAAGGCCCCTCGCCGGTTTAATACGTTCGACACCATAAGTTACAGCGCGATGGGGTTCGAAGGCAACGGAAATGACGAGCCGAGATTGGTTAGGAGCTCAGGGATGAGGAGGGATTGGAGCATGGAGGATTTGAGGGGGAAAAGGGGATGAAAAGTGGGGAAAAGTTACGTATGAAGAATAATACCAAGAAAAATGAACCTATTTCAGTGCATGGTGGACGTGATCGATCATTGGATTTATTTCATTTTTTTTTATTGTATTAATCAACACATTATTTTATTCTTTACCAAGGTAATTGTTTTTGAATAAAGGATTCCGGTTTAAACAACGAAACTCTAGTTCAATTTTTATTATTTTTTTATCGTTTTGATCTAATTTTAATTCTCAAGACGAACGCATGATTTCAAGCTGTGGAAGACAAACTTAAACTTATAAGATTTTAAGCCCATAACAAAAGAAATTCAAGGAGAAACTGTTCCCTTGCTAATGATATTTATGAAAAATAATGGATATTTTAAAGGCATATTATTTATCATTAGGATTAGAGTTTTGAATAATACAATTGTTTTATATTCTTCTCCACGATATCTTTGAAACGGTGTATAATATGTTCGAAAGGATTAAGTGATGAATAAAAAATTAATATTCAAAATACACTACATGTAAATTTTGTCGAATAAAATAAAATATATTAAAACATTTCCCATCATTTAAAGTTGGATAAACAAAAATTATAAACTTTGAATGTGCAAATATTATGGGGACTAGAAACAAAATTAGACTTTCCCATGATTTAAAATTGGATAACTACATGATTGATCATTTTTGTTTAAATTTTGTACATTTTACCTTACTGAATTCGAAAAACATAATATTTGGTCATTTTTTTTATCTAATTAAGTTTTATTACTTTCATTTTTATTCAATTAAGATATGGTCACTAAGGGTTAAACTATACAAATGATCACTAATGTTTGAGTAAGTTTTCGTTTTCTCCATTGAGTTTTCAAAAATAACAAATTGGTATCTAAGACATCAAATAGGTCATTGAACAATAATTTTATAACATAAAAGTTACAAAATGGTCCCCAACTATAAGGTGTTACTTTTTTTGAGTCGCTTGACTATTAAAAATTACAAAATGATTATCTGACTATTCATATGTTATAAACTCGTCCTTTTACATTAAAAAATTGATGGTCCTCTAATCTAGACGTTAGCCTGCTAAATAGAATATGATAAAATATGATCCCATAACTATATATTTGAGTTTCATAGTCATTTAAGATTCTAGGATTAGATTTTATCATATTCCAGTCAGTAGATCAACGTCTATTTCAGAGGATTGTAATTTTTTTTAAGGAAAATGACGAGTTTGGAATATATGAATACTCAAGTGATCATTTTGTAACTTTTAATAGTTGAGGAACTCAACAAAGTAGTGACCTATAGTCAGTGAATCATTTTGTAACTTTTAATAGTTAGGGACTCAACAAAGAAATATCCTTTAATCGAGGGATCATTTGTGTACTTTACCCTACAAATTAATAGATTTTTAAAAAGAAAACATTCCCATACCAGACATGTCTATGTAAGGTAAAAAAATGAAAATTCTCTCTGGAATTTTCTCTCGCTCTCACACTCTCTTCCTGAAATTCTATTCTTGTGCCTCCGGCAAGGATGAGGATTTCTTTGGCCATCGACACCTTTCCAATGGTGATTTGATGCAAGGCTCATATTTTTGTCCATGGTTTCTGTTTATTCTTGTTTCCAGGTCCTGTTTTATGATTAACGTCATTGCCTTAGGGTTTTTATCTCTAGATCAATGGGCGCTTGTCGTGTATCTGTTCATGATTGTAATTGAAATTTCCATTGGTGCTGTAAGGGTTTGTCTGCGGTCCGATGGTCGTTGTTCGTTGTGAGAAAAGTGTCATTGATGGCATGGAACGAACAACGGCCGGTGGCCGAAGTGTGTGAAGGAGAAGAGGCGAGCGGTTGTGGTAAAGTTAGGGATTTTGGTTACAAAGGAGAAGATAGAAAGATGAGTTTATTATTAGTAACAAATAACAAATGACTGCAATAGTTGGGTAATCTTTAATGCTGAACAGTACAGGGTTTGTATAACCCAAATTAATATCAAATACGAACAAACTTTTAACTAATACTAACAACCTCTTAACTAATTATTATTAGGGTAAACTATACCAGTGACCACCATAGGGCCTACGCTTAAAGCTAAAACTTGGAAAACTGTTGATACTCTTGGTCCTGCATCGCAATTTCCTTGGTTGGTTGGGTGGATTTCAACGAAATCTTAGTTGACTCTGAGAAGTATGGGGGCAGACTTAAGCACAAAGTGCTTCTTGATGATTTTCGTAATGTGTTGGACCGAAATGGTCTGGTAGATTGTTGCCCTTCTAAGGGTTAGTTCACTTGGTTTTATGGAAGCAATGATAAACCAGTAATTGTTGAACGTTTAGATCGATTTGTGGCTGCTAGGGGTGGTTAATTACTTATTCCTAGTTTAGGGCTAGCTCGAAATATGCAGATTGCTTGGATCATTATTGCCTTGTAATGGAGACGGAGTGGCAAAAACATGATAGTTTGGCTGAGTCTAGATGACACTACTTTAAGTTTGATGTATGTTGGTCAAAAGAAGAATGTGGACTCTGCTTGGACTTATATGAATGGGACAATCTTGGATAAGACTATAGTTGTGGGATGCTTACATCAGGATTGACAGTCTGATTGTGTTTCAAATTCTAGGGCTCGTATTGCTGAGCTTTGCAAGGTTGTTAATGATGGGTTATCTAAACAGTTGGGGGATATCGATATGGCTAACCTTTTTGCTGCAAAGAGTGAACCTCAGCAGCTTCTTAACAAGGAGAAGAAGTTCCGGTTAACGCATGAAGAAGAATATGATAAAAGGCATGTTTAATAAAGCGAGCATTTGGACTGAAAAATGTGACATAGGCACTCGTCAATTTCTCAAAAATACCACTTTAAATTAGTCAATTAGGAACCATATGAAAACTGATACCAGAGTTAAGTATCCACTCACCACTTGTTATAGAGTTATCGTCACCGACAATTAGGAGTTCTCCATTATAGTACAACTCCGCTACATCGGCCTCATCAAATTTTTCATAGTTATGCTATTTAGTTTCTTTGTTGATTTTATTTTGTAACTTGTAGCACTCTTTTTTAACATGATCTTTTTTTTACAAAAATGACAAGTTTTTCCTCAATTGAAAGATTTTGATCTACCCCTTCCTATATTACCAGAAAAAAGCTACCTTTTCTTTCAATGTTTGAGCTAATCGATCTATGTACCACGAGACCCTCTACTTGGTACTTGGAACCAGATACAAGATGCTTCATCTTGTCAAATGAGTGTATGTCATTGTACACTTCTTCAAGAGTGAGTGTTTCGCGACTGTACAAGATTATATCTCTAAAAGATGAGTAGGAAGGAGGCAGTAAACATAGGAGGTTCAATCTTATAAGTATTCTTGGTCATACTTTACTTCTAAAGCCTCTCGATCAGAGACAATGTCCTTGAATGCGGTCAGGTGTTCTTCAAGAGACGAACCTTTCGCCAACTTGAGCAATTAAAGATGTTGCTTTAAGTGCAACTTGTTGGTCAACGATTTTTGCATGCATAGTTGCTCCAATTTCGCCCACAAAGAAGCAACCATTTTTTCTTTCAATACATCCTGCAATATTTGATTTGATAAGTGTAAACGGATCTGAGATAGGACCTTACAATCCTTATACTTCTCTTCCTTTGTCCAATGTGACGATATCTTCTTATCAAACATTTCCAATGCATCATCTAAGTCCAATTGTACAAGGACCTCTCGAATCTTCACCTACCACAGTGAAAACCTGATGTTTCGATCCAACAGTGTAATATCATAACTTCATTGTTATCATAATCTTCAACCATTAGAATCAATAACGGATCCCGAAATTAAAACTTGGGGATCCAAAATAAATATTATAATATTCCTTAATAATGACATTTGTTATTTGAAAAATAAGATATTAATTACTAATTAAGCAATTTTAATTGATTCGACTTAAAAATTAAAATGTCCAAATTACTCCAACTTAAGAATACATATTCATAATATTATACGTCACAATTTAATTTTCAAATCATAAAATCACCAAAATTTATTAATTGAATTTAAAATTTAATCTAATCTCCTAACTTTAACTCACTCAAATTAAGATTTTTTTTAAAAAAAATTAAAAACTAAAATATGAATTTAACTAAATTTTTAAACAATAAAATTTAACTTAATTATCAATTATAATTTAAATTAAAATATAATAAATAACATAAAATTTTGGTAAAACGGACACAAATAAAATTTTAAAGTAGACAATATCATAAAATTATCCGACTTAGAACAAAATGAGAATGCATAAACGCAAAGATAATTATAATATATCTATACTTGGAACAAAATTAATATGAATTATAACCTACTCAAACTCAGAAACATCATCCCTAGTTAATTAGCAATTTTGAAATGGATTTATTCAACGAGAAAACCTTGCTTTGCCTCAAAACCTTCATCATCGACGACGATTCTTTAGAGCCGGAATGTGACGTCATCGCCACCGACCTCGACATCCTCACCATCATCCTTTCTTTTTTTTTTGAAGGATCACCATCATCCTTTCGTTTGCTCTCTTTCTGGACTTCTCTTCTTGGATCTTCGCTACCGTATCGTTTGCTCTTGCTCGTATTAGTACTACCTCTAAACATCAACCAGAACGACGTCGTCTTGCTCTTATTATCCATCGTCGATAAATCGTTATTTTCGGTTTTAAACTCATCGGTTTCAAACGGAGAAAAGGAATTGCGAGGGATCTGGATCGTCGGAACGAAGACTCGGCTTCGATGAGATTCGAAACTCCACCGGAGACGTCACCGGCGGTTGAGAAGCAGAAGTACGAGGAGGAAGAAGAAGAAGAAGAGGTTGCGGTACACGCGCAGGGACGAGTGCGGGCGCAGTCGGGGAAAAGAGATGCTAGTTTATGTTGGTGGCAAACCGGACAGATTCCGCTGCGGCGTCGTTTCGAAGGATGCCTTGCGCATTTCCAGACCCGTTTCTCGTCGCTTTTTTTTTGGCGGT